CGGAACAAATCGTAGCATTTCTGTGTCTTGTTGAATAGAAGATAGTATAAAAAGATTTTTTGGAACCTTAAAGCGTTATCACATACGATATTTGTTGCCGGAACAAAACGTTTGAAGGAACAGTTCTGAGAATCGCTTTTCCGCGAAATCGGGTTACCATCTTCACTTGGTAAACAGGCTGAAATCCAAACAAGAATCAGTTATCGCTCAGATTGGCGAAAGTGACGTTTCCTTTCAAGTGACGTTTGCTTCTTCGTGTTGTTTTGTATCGCTCACACTCTTTTCTTTTTAAACTTTATTGTTAGTTATGGAAGATAATAGAAAGGTGATTGCTATCAAGTTAATCACTTTGATCTCCATTCTGGCATTTCAAGTAACAGATAAACACACTTCTGGTTATAGCAATCAATTACATCAGTAATAGCCAAATTCTGTATACACTAAGACTAGTTTAAAACTTGTGCTGGATAAGTCTGTTTATCAGACATTACTTATGTGTATTTTCTGATGTCTGCATTCCAATGAAAATTTGATGGCTCACTGGAAAATTTGTGACCTGGTGAAAGCATTTTCTTGACTAACTTTATAAGGCTCATAATTACTGTTCTGACCATAAGTATAAACATACAGGGAAAAAAAAAAAAAAAAAAAAACTATGACAAAAATCTATATAGCTGATATTTACATCCTCACAGCCAGCAGATACTATTTAGCAAAATGAAGATTCAATAAAGCATATGAATACATGAGCAATCAAACATGCGCGAGTTGTTTTCTGTCCCATAGAACAATCGGTAATGTATCTAAAACACATTAATTATACCAACTCTAGAAATCATGAGTTTGTTTTATATGATTACGCAAAGCCTCGAGGAATATCTGCCTAACAGGAGAGATCACTTTGTAGAATATTTTTTTAAACTGGCTCGTATATTAGTTACAAATGGGGAAAACCAAGAAAACGCCCATATAACCAGCCCGTTCGCGGCATTCTAACCTTAGACAGAACTACCAGTGTTCAACGACGCTTCGGCCACTAGTAGGCCCGTGCACATAATTGGAATGTACAATTCTTTATGTAAACACACATGAAGGTTATAATCAGTTGCGCACTGTTTTAAGTAATCAAATAATATAATGCATAGCTGTTACATTTCTTATTATTTATTAGTCATGTTTATATTACGTATATCATACATATGATATAATTATGAATTAACCCAAAAACAAAATGTGTACACTCTTTAGTACTCAAATGCTAATCAATTATTTTTCAACTGATTATTACATATTCATAATAATTTGCAAAGAACTGATGACTACAGTTGCTGCCAATTACATGATCGTTATATGAATTAGAAATAAACCTTTTTGGCAATGTTCATTTTTGTATTTATACATACATATATTCTAATATTCTATAATATTCCACACATCTAATAAATCATATATTTACATACAGATAGAGAAATGAGATGGTTTAGAAGTTGCTGATATATATTTATTAGTATTAATGTAATGAATAAGATTTATATTAATGAATGTATGTACAAATGTTCATCATCCGTAATAATAAATCCATAAATTTCCAATGTTTCAATATGTAGCATTTACAATAAAAGTGTAGTTTCTAATGTATTTATAATGCAAAAAGTATTTCATTAATAACATGAAAATAATAGACAAATTTAATGAGTACTCTCATTATTACATAAACTATGCTTTTCTTTCTTTATGCATCTTTTATGTTTAAAATGTGTCACTGATTATGCAATTAACAATTTCAAAGATAAGTAATTAGGAGAAAAGCCGCGCATATACAAACGATTTTAACAAATTATTCAACTTAAATTTAAGGAATAAAATTCTATTACATAACAGTGATAATACACGATCGGCACGAAATACGACAAGATTGGCGAACTTTTGGCGACGAACAATTTGTAAACAAATCCGAACTGCAAGAACGTCGTAAAATACTGTCAAGTCTGAAATTTCCACGATTATATATTTAATGAATATATAAACATTTTTAAATGACTCAGTTGTATTACAACAAAACAGCAATAATTAAATAGGCCTCTATTCACCGTCCATGACTTCACATTGAGAGCCATCGCCATATTGAAAGTTACCCGTGATCCTTCAGAAGCAGAACATTCGTCTGATTGGTTGAACGTACGAGGAACACGTCTCCATACAGAACATTTTCGGGAAAGTTTCAAAATGTTGCTCATAGTCGGGATATGCTTCTCCCAGCTAGACGAAACATTTCTCGAAAGCATCCCGCTTAAAGCTGTGCTACTAGAATCGCGTTTTTCGCAACTGTCCCGCATAGCCGCGTGCGTCCCTAGAAGTGATAACCTCTTTAGCCGTGGATGTTCCTTGCTTGCCCTTGCGCAAAGCATCATCAAAAAGTAACTATCCCTAGCCCTTGACGTCTCGGATGGAGCAAGCAGGTTTAAAGTAATGTTTTCAAGAAAGATTTACAAACTTGCATCGGGCCTAACTTTAACAACCTATTTAATTTTCGAAGTTTCGAGGTTACAAGAAAAAAATAAAGGCAAAGCACTTTGCTTTTGAGCACGCAGTTAGTTCCCTTGATTCTGTGCCCTTCTATGCGCCTCACCGGCCGAGGCCAATAAACTCATTATGCAAGCTAAAATGATTGAAAATGGGTTCCATCGCAGCAGGGTATCCAAAGGTTTGACTTCGCATTTAGTGATTGATATCTGGATCGTTTATTGAACTTCGGTATTTTTCGTGAATTAATCGTTCTTCGAAATTAAAATTTAACTTTTTGAAGCACGCACAACTTTGTTTTTACAGTGTTAATGCGTAGTTAAAACAGCATGAATATAGTTAGTTGTCACGAATGGGCTCGTTGAGATGAAAATAACTTCAACTGACGTTTCAAGAACGAGAATTATCATGATTCTTTTTTAGGTTATCAGTGTTGATTGTTATGATTTCTGGTGTTTTTTAACGCAGATGTGTTAAATAAATATTTTCGATATTTTGCTTCCTTACGACCTTATTTTATTTAATGGAACGGTAAGTGGATACGTATCTATAATATTTGTGCCACCGTATACTTTTCCATTTTCCGAAGTAATATTTTTGTAGTTGAACAGTATACGATTCGTATTTCATATGTTTTTGAATTTCTGTTCTGTACTTCTGGTATGATTTTGCTAATTTCTTCCGCAAGAATTAAAGAGGCTAGTCTCTAACATGGTAATGGGTGTAAGTGCATACATTTGTCCATTAAGGCATATTTAAGAGAAATTTTAAAAATATATTATTATGTAAAGTATGATATATCTTTTCAGTTTTGACAGCTGGCAGTTCAAAGCTGAGATTGGTATGTTCAGATTCTGCGTCTGGGCAGCTTCCACATGTACGTATTGTGGTTATTGTACCATAAATAATCTTGGTAAACGTGCCGCAATTTGTAAATAGAGTTTACATAAATTTTATTCGTTCTAAGTTTAGCCCACTCGGCCGCTGGTGGTTAGTGCCGCTAAACACTGGTAGAACCCGTCGCACCGCGAGCGGGCTGGCTGCATGGGCGTTTTCGTGGTTTTCCCCATGTGTAACGTGTATACGATCCAGTTCCCTTAAAAAGCCCTTAACGAAGGCATCCTTTCCATTAGGCAGATAGCCCTCGAGGCTTTGCTATAATCACACACACGTTCTAAGCTTACTGTCGTGAAAATATTTTTGTGGAATCGGAAGTATGTTCAATAATCAAATATTGTTTTCTCGATTTATATTTCAGGGCGAATTTTAATGATTTTTATTTCAGCTGCGTTTCGCGCTCCGAAAATAGGCAATGAAATTAAATCATCTGAATAATTTTATATGGATCGCCTTTTGAAAATATCGTAAAATGCAAACACATGGGGGGGGGGAAAGCTTAGCATACAAATGGAAATATTTTGAAGGGTTATTATCTGAAAACGCAATTGTCAGTGAAATTTTATGTTGAGAAAGATACAAAATAACCGAAAAGTTAACTATATCCAAATATAAGATTGAAATTAAACGCAATGGAGGGAGGTTTTTCCTGCTGTTGGTGCAGTAACATTTCTGTCAGCATATCAAATTATTAGTAACTGCGCATCGGTGATTTTGAGATTCAGTGGTAATCCAAGTTTGTCGAAAGTGTGGTGGTTCAGCAAAACACTCAATATCACATCTCGTATCAATAAATCAAATCAATAATCACCAATCAATAAAATATAAATTTATTTAATTAAATATAATAATATCTCAATCTCAGAAATCGCACGTCATCACTGCGTCACACCTTCCATCGAGACTCCGCACACACTCAATGGCGCTCTCAGCGCCCTCTAGCGTTAGGCGGGTCTTACCATTCTCCCCGCTTAAACTCCCATGGAGTTTAAATTTCAATTTCCAGATATTCAAATAAATTTAAAGTCACTAAAATTACACTAAACTAAATATTAAATTGGTAAACTATTAAATATAAAAGTTTTTCAAGTTCATTCAGTCTTTAAATGGTAGAGGAATAATTTTGTTGATGGCTCGCCGAAGAACACGTGTAGAGGTTTTAACTTCAACTACTCTGACCAGACCATCAGCACCAGGATACACTTGTTGGATGCGACCCAATGGCCAATGCAAAGGATTGGGGTTGGAGTCCTTCAGCAGTACTAGTTGACCAATCTGCATGTTTTGCTGCGAACTGCTCCATTTGGAACGATTCTGTAGTTGACTTAGATACTGTAGCTTGGAGTCTCTGAACTAGTTCCCACATGGAATTGGGGAAGAAAAAAAAAAAAAAAAAAAAAAAAAAAAAAAAAAAGAGAGAGAGAGAGAGAATCCGAAGCAGTATGTGGTTCAGGAAAGGACAACATAGCACTTCCTGTTAAAAAATGTCCGGAGTTAAAGGCTGTAAGTCATTCGGATCGGAAGAAAGCTGATAATGGACGGGAATTCAGAACTGCTTCTATCTGAGTAACTAAAGTAGTTCACTTTTCAAAATTCATGATAGCCGATTTTGTTACCCTTAACAAAATCCGTTTCACTGATTTTATGATTGCATCCCACAGTCCGCCAAAGTGAGGAGAAGCTGGTGGGATAAATTTCCATTGGATGCCTTCTTCTGCACTAAATCCTTCAATTGGGTTAGATTTGCAAATATCATTATATGCGTTAAGAATATTTCTCGCACCTTTGAAATTCGTGGCGTTATCGCCCCAGATAACGGCTGGTTTGGATCTTCTGGCAATAAATCGTCGTAAACAGGCTAGAAAAGCTTCTGTTGTTAACTCAGAAACGACTTCTAAATGCACTGTTTTAGTGCAAAAACAGATAAATAATGCAATATAAGACTTTAAAGTCTCCTTTGACCTTTTCAAATCCGGTTTCGTGATTATAGGTCCTGCGAAATCTAATCTGACCTTCTCGAAAGGTCTAGAAGGCACGACTCTGTCCCTAGGTAGATTACCCATCATCTGGCTTACCGTTTGATTTTGTGTTCTAAAGCAAGTCATGTACTTATTTATTACTCTTCTAACTCGATCTTGACCAGACGGTATTCAATAAGACTGTCTTTATTAAAGATAATGTAGTCTGTATGCCAGAATGTAAGGATTTTCTATGATAATATTCAATAACTAAATTAGTGAAATGATGAGCCTTTGGGAAGTGTATCTGATGTTTCTGAAATTCAGAAAACTCAGAATACTCCAGTCTTCCTCCTACTCTCAGTACCTCATTTTTGTCAAGAAATACGTTCAGAGATGATATTTTACTATTTTTGGAATGGATTGTCCGTTTTTCAAGCACTTTATTTCCCTTTGAAATTCAGTTGACTGTACGAGTTTTACTAAAACTTCAGTAGCATGTCTTAACTCAGAAGCACGCATATGAAGTCTGTTCTCAACTCTGGGTTTGCTTTACAGTTTATTTATAAATCTCAACATAAAGCAGTTATCCTAATTAATTTACTGAATGAGGAGTATCTTGTGATCAAATCGTTTTCATTTTGGCTATTTTCAACAGTTGCATTTACAACAACTGACTTCTTAAACTCTAACTTATCGACATCTACTTCGCTTTCTTCCATTGATTCTAAGGAGGATGGCCATGTTGTATTATTCATTGTCAAACCAACAGGGTCCATGCCACCAAGAGCTGATTATTCTTGAGCTCGCTTAAGGATAAACCCTCTAGAAATCAAATCGGCGGGATTATTCTTTCCTATACAATGATGCCATTCTTCTGGATTGCTTATTTTTGTATTTTCTTTTATTCTATTCTTAACGAACACCTTATGTCTATTTGGATCACCTTTAATCCAGTAATAAGCTATTGAGGAATCCGTCCCAAAATATCGAGTAACTGGAAAACTGAGTGCAGTTACAATTTTATTGCTCAATCTTGAAGACAAAAGTGCACCCATGAGTTCCAATCTGGGAATCGAAAGGGTTTTTAACAGAGCTACCCTGCTCTTTGATGCTACAAACCTAGAAATGATATTTTCACTCTTTAATTCTATGCGTAAGTACGTAACAGTACCACAAGCTTTCTAAGATATCTGAAAAACAGTGTAATTGAATAGTGATTGCATGACTGGGCAAAGAACTTTGAAAATAATATCGGGAATAATTATTTCCTTTACATCGTGGATCTCATCGCACCATTTATTCCAAGCAATTTCTAACTGTTTGGGCAATTTTTCATTCCAGTCTAATCCTAAACACCAAATTTCTTGCATCAAGTACTTAGCTCTAATAGTTATGTGGTCCTATAAAACCTACTTGATCGAAAAGTCGACTTACTGCTCGTAGTAAGTGTCTTTTTTGTTAGTTCTTTTTAAAAGAAATGTTTCCAGATTTCTGGTATCGAAATAAAACTTGTCAGTTTGTTCATCCCAACTAATTCCCAATACTTTTGAAGCTATCAATTTTGTATCTAAAGACTCTTCACCCTGATCTTACTACTTTGAAGTTTAAATTCTTTAATTCTTTACTTAGCTCAGGAGAATTGGTTCTCCACTTTCGAAGGTCCATGCTTGCCTCTGTTAGAATGTCTACACTCTCTTTACAAGTCTTTAGAGCCTGTTGAACAGTGATTTGCCCACAATAAAATCGTCGACGTACAATGATTCATTAAGATGCTTTGAAGTCAGAGGAAATATATCTACGTACCTTTTCAAGTGATGTGATGTTTGATTGTGGCTGCAAGGAGGAACGGGCTAGATCTCACCCCAAATAACACACTTGTCGTCCGAAAAATTTCCAATTTCTTGTTTTTACCATCAGTTCATGGATCTTCATCCCAGAAGAATCTGATGTAATTTCGTTCATTTTCATCTATTTCAATCTGGAGAAAAGCCATCTTAATATCTGCAACAAATGCTATCGGATTCGTTCTAAATCTGATCAAAAGAAGAAATAGGTTAAGCATAAAATTAAGTCCCGTGTATAAGCAATCGTTCAAAGAATAATTGATCTTTTGCATGCGCCGAAGCATCAAACACAATGCGTAATTTGCTTGTAATCTTATCCGTACGTATTACAGCTCGATGAGGTAGATAAAATGTATTTTAGCGTAAATTTACTTCATCATCTGGGACAGGTTCAATAATATTCTCCGAAAGATAATTCTTTAGAACAGTGTTATATTCACAAAATAAGGACGGGTCATTTTTAAAAGATGATTTCAATCTCAAAAATCTTTTCATTGCTATCTGCTGGTTATTTTCTAATAATGTCTTCATATTTGGTTTCCAGGGCAATTTCACTTTGTATCGCTTATTTTGATATGTATTTCGAGATTCAAATTCACTCATTATTCCTATCTCGGTGGTTCAGTGGTAGAATGCTCGCCTGCCACGCGGGCGGCCCGGGTTCGATTCTCGGTCGATGGACCAAATGCGCATCGGTGGGTTTGAGATTCAGTGGTAATCCAAGTTTGTCGAAAGTGTGGTGGTTGAGCAAAACACTCAATATCACATCTCATATCAATAAATCAAATCAATAATCACCAATCAATAAAATATAAATTGATTTAATTAAATATAATATCTCAATCTCAGAAATCGCACATCATCACTGCGTCACACCTTCCATCGAGACTCAGCACACACTCAATGGCGCTCTCAGCGCCCTACAGCGTTAGGCCGGTCTTACCAGTAACTAAATTCTTTTACTAGGTATGAACAACTGTTCTTTATTTAATTAAAGCAAAGCACCGTGAATGCACTTTTTCTAAGAGAAGGAATGCCTTCTTGGAAAACTTTTAAAATTCAGCCTAAATTGGTCTCACATGGAAAAAATAATGGAAATGCTACTGAAATCGGCCGATTCGTCAGGATTCGGACCCTAGTCGAACGACTAGTGCTTGGCGCTTTACAGATTTCGCAACTTATGCTACAGAAACATGTCATACTTTTTAAGTACGTAACTTGCGTAACTTTCTTAAATCGCTCGAGGTAATTTAATCAGCAATTTTAAAACTTCATTCAAGATAGAAACATGGCGGGCCAAAATTTTTTCCCCCGTCATCTAGCTTGCTGTTCCCTATTCACACACGTGTCAGTTTTCCCACAGAATAATAAAAAGGAATTAAAAGAAAAAACGAAATTGTCCAAAATAACGGGAAGCACATGTAGATGAAAGTGCGTCCTTGTCTTGTATTCTTTTGTAACAAATAAAGACCTTCAAAACTGGAGGGCGACAAAACTAGATTGGCAGTGAGCCTACAATGGTGACAGTCTTCCGTCGCGGTATTTAAAGGGCGGAAAAAGGAAGTTTTTTTCGTTTGTGATGAAATTCCGAGTGCACTACTTCACATTTACTGAAATTATCACTATTCATTAGGGAAAATTTTCTTTTTCCCTGTTCCCCCCCCCCCCCCGCCATCAGCCCAATTCAATAAATCAGTAATTATTCGTTTTGCAAGACAGGACGCCGGTCGTAATACAGTAAAGTAAAAACCTGCTAAAATGACTTGCCGAAAAACCAAACTATCTCCCCCTTTTTTTTTTAAACTTGAAATTATGCTACTTAAATGTATCAAAACATTTTCGAACTTAAGTGGTACACCTTTTACCGAGAAAAAGCTATCGTCTAAGATAAATGTGAAATTATCTCCGTAAATTAAATTAAATACTAGAGAATTTAAATTAAATACACACTGATTTAGGTCGAGTTAATCTTAGGTTATTTTTCATATTGATTAACATTCAACTCGCTTGAAGTATTAAAATCCATTCCCTTCTGCGTAATGAACTAATCAGAGGTGAGAATTAGGAAACTTAGGAAAGAGGTTTGTGTGTGTTTTAAGTAGGTAGCAGTTAGGGTGGTCGATGGCGTCTAAATTTCACACTTACCGTAAATCCTTATAATAACTGAGCTGTGCATCTGGAATTTTCCAATTTGAAAAAAGCCGCTTTGTCTTGATCAAAGCAGGCTGTACGTGTGTAGTCCTAATTAATACCTTCATCATACATTAGGGACACAGCTTCTTCCTTGTTGTCACATACGGTAAAATCAGTATCAGCTGGAGAAACTGAAATATTTTCGCTGAAGAGTATATTTGTCAACGGAAATGGCTCTTGATCGGAAGAAAGCCGGAGAGGAGCTCGATTTGATTTTTAAAGTCCGATTTGGCACTGAGGGAACACTCACAGATACCAACTAGGAGAGGAGTTTTGTGAACTTTATTACCATTCTCTACTAACAATGAAATCTAACGATTATAATAAAACAGTATGTATTTTTTTTTTCAGTAAACTTCGTGTAATAATTTAATCATCTCAAGTTTCTGTTGCCCACCAATGTTAAAGAATTATCAGTGACCGAGTAGTTCAACTCCCTGAACATTGTTTGTTCGTCAAAATGATTGGTGTAAGACCGCTGAACACTAGTAAAACTGGCTTCATTGTTGTTTGTGATTTTTTTTTTCTGCAGTTCCCCTAAAAATGTTTTCTCCGAAGGTACTGTTTTCCTTAAGCAGATAGCTTTTGTGTCCTTTGCCATATTCAGATGTATTCTTTGATCGTTCCAGATCATGCTGACCATAATAAGACCGCTTAATACTGGTAGTTCAACCCAGACTCGAAACCAGGCGAACGGTGGGTTAGTTGCTTCTCGTGGTTTTCTTAAGTATAATGTGAACACGTTCTGTAGTCTTTCTTAAGAAGTCCTCTTCGTCTTTCCAAAAAGTTCTCTTCGAGGGCATGCCTCTTTACACAGAATGTTCTCGTGGGCTTTGCCGTTATCAAATAACCTAACCTAACCAGCTCTTTCTAAACGGGGGGGGGATAGCGAAATCTTTACGCTAAGTTGCGAAGAAATTGTATTTAAGCCAGACTGCAGATCACCCAAGTACATACTAGTAGCGGAATGAGTAATGATTAATCGCCTCTGCTTAGTACCGATTCTGTAGAGAAAAATTCTTAATTTTTTTATTCCCAACTTAGCCCGATGTGAAATTATTCCCT